CTAGAGTCCAAACAGATATTACAGCAGAACTCTCTCTGTTCTTCTTGTCACTAACCTTCAAAGCTTGGGACCCAAGCCTGCAGGAATCTCCAGTCTGTCGCCTGACCAATGGATTTTGGACTTGCCAGTGCCCCCACCACCCCGTAAGCTATTCCTTGAAGTAAATTTCTCTGTCTCTCTTTCTTTCTGTTGCTCTCTCACTGGCTCTGTTTCTCTAGAGAACTCTCACTAAGACGTGTTGCATATGATATGATATTTTTTTTTGTCTTACTTGAACTTTTGGGGGATAATTTTTAAACTTTAAATTCTTTGTTTTAGAAATGACTATTTTATTGTGTTTCAAGTGTAATGGCGGTGGGTTACACACATTATTCAGAAATATTGGTACATTTATCACAGTACGTCACCATTCTCCTTCATTTGGTTCTGGTTGTACCATTTCCAGTTCTTTAGTTTCCCTGATCCCTGAGCATCTTTGGTTTAGAGTCATTGCTGACCATTTGGTTTCATGTAGATGATTTCTTTTAAAGGAGCTCATTCCTTACAGGTGATCTTCTTTGTTTTATGAGCCAATCTGCCATTTAGCTAAACGGTGAACTCAATGGATACTTCAGGTTAAGACTTAAAGAGTATCTCAGAGTGATAGTCTTGAGGAACCCTCAAGTCTCGACTGGTCCAGTAAGTGTAGATTTTTTAGGAATCTGAGTTCCATTCCACATTCTTCTTCTGTTCTCTCAGGATCCATCCACTGTGGTCCTGATCAGGACAGTCTGGTGCTGGTTGCTGTTGTTGTTGTTAGGTGCCATCAAGTCTTCTTTGACTCATAGTAACCTCATGTACAGCAGAATGAAACACTGCCCAGTCCTGCGCCAGCCTCACAATCCTTGCTATATCTGAGGCCATCGTTGTACCCACTGTACCAATCCACTGTGTCTGTGGTGGTAGCTGGGCACCAGCTAGTTCTTCTGGTCTCAGGGTAGAAGAGGTTCATGTGGACTGTTAGTCCTGGAGACTACGTCCTTCTCTGAGTCTTTGGTTTCCTTCTTTCTCTTTTTCTGGATGAGTAGAGACCAACAGTTGTATCTTAGATGGTCACTCACAAGCTTTTAGGACCCCAGACACCACTTAGCACATTGGGATATGGAATGTGCACTTAATGAACCACATATGCCAGTTAACTAGTCGTCCCATGGAACTATGGTCCTAAGCCTTCAAACCCAGAAACCCCATCTGATGAGGTGTTTGGTTATATCTAAGATATTCATTACTGTGTCCCCTGTGTGGCTGATAGTATATATGAATATATACATGTACACATGCATACCTGTGTGTACAGATGTCTATAACCAAAACCCACTGTCATCAAGTTGATACTGACTCACAACGCCCCTATAGGACAGAGAAGAACTGCCTCATAGGGTTCCCAAGGCTGTCAATCTTTACAGAAGCAGACTGCCTCATCTTTCTCCTACAGAGCAGCTGGTGGGTTTGAACCGCTGACCCCTTGGTTAGCAACTGAGCACTTAACCAGTGCATCACCAGGGCTCCTTGAAGAGTGCCAGAGGGCTGATAAAATAGACTAGGAGGGAGCCATACCCTCTAAACGATGATGATTCCAGTACCAAAGTCAGAGCGTCAGTGTGATGTCTATGTGATTCCTGACACTGCTCAAGAGAAATGAGTCCTATGAGCCTCGCTAGGAAAATCTCTGCTCTTCCACAGCTGGTGCCTGGTTTCTACAGAAAAGGGAGTGGCCAGGTTGGAACCCGTACAGAAACAGCTAATACCAGAGTCTGTCCAAATGACACCCACCTCCCCAGGTGGAGTAACTCGGGCAGATGTTGCAGCTGTGCTCTGCTGAGATCTACGAGGCTTCCCCTGGCTGATTTCCAGACACAGATCACCAGGCCTTCCGCCCAGTCTGTCCTAGTCTGGGACCTCTGCTGGCACCTGCCACCACGGGTGCCCCTGCTGGGACTGGAAATACCAGGGGCATAGCCTCCAGCATCACAGAAGCACACAGGCCAACACAGGATGAAAACGACAGCAGTGCCAGCGAAGGGACAATGCAACCAATGGCGACAAACCCAGGGAGCCCCTCCATGAGAGGCACGGACACAATAACCCCAACAAAGGGCTGAGACATGGCGACCGGCAGGGGCGAAGATGGGGCAGCACCAGCGATGTTCTGTTCTGTCGCACATGTCTGCAAGGTGGCGAAGGCAGTGTCCCATGCCTGGCTGACCGGACCCCACCAGTGGGCAGCTGCACCCCCACCTGGGGGCCTGAGCATGACACCCCATGTATGATCAATCCTGGGGTCCTCAGCTGGGTCCAGGGGGCCTCGAGGACTTGAGCCCTCTGTGACCGTGTTTGTCACCATGGAAAATCAGCCAGTGCAATTCCTTAAAAAGTTGGAATTAGAAATACCATTTGACCCAGCAATCCCATTACTAGGTACATATCCTAAAAAAGTGAGAGGTGGGACACAAATAGATATATGTATGCCCACCCATGTTCATTGCACACTATTCACAACAGCAAAGAGATGGAAAGCACCTGAGTGCCCATCAACCGAGGAATGGATAAACTGTGGTACATAGACACAATGGAATACTACGCAACACTGAAGAATAATGAAGAATCTGCAAAACACCACATAACGTGGATGAACTTGGAGGACATTGTGCCGAGTGAAATAAGTGAATCACAGAAGGACAAATATTGTATCAGTCGACTATTATCCAGGAAAGGTTGACACAGGGAATGAAACTTTCTTCACTGGTTACCAGGGATAGGAGGGGAGGGAAAATTCCTATATAAGTTGGAGGAAAAAAAAAATATATATATATATAAACCAAAGATTATTAGTGGTTCCCAGGGGTAGGCAGGATGGGGGAAGGGGAAGCTTTTGTTTGGGGGACACTGAGTTTATGCTGATGGTGGTGGAATATCTGGAAAAGGACAGCACCAGTGGTGGCACAACATGAAAAATGTCATCAGCATCCCTGAGCTGTACCTGGGAAGGTGTTATGTTGGTGACTGTCTTGTTGTGTATGTTGTCACCACAATAAAAGTTAAAAAAAATAAAGAAAATCAGTCCGTAGCTGCTGGTCTTGGCAAAGGTCATCAGCAGGTGTTAGACTGTGTCAAACACCCTGACCAGTCCCTGGAGAAGGATGCCATGTTGGCTCTTATGGAGGGAATTGTCCCCCAAATACGTTGTAAATCCTAACCCTATCCCGGTGCTTAGAATCCCATTTGGAATTGGGGGTTTTCTTTGTTATGTTAATGAGGCAGGGCTAGGGTGGGCTGTGTCTTAAACCCATCTCCTGAGACAGAGAAGAGCAGATTAAGCAAGCAACAAAAAAAGCTGAGCTGGGGGAAGACAGATGCCACGCCACATGAAGGTCACCAAGGAACGAAAAACAAGGACCTTCCCCCAGAGCTGACGGAGGGAGAGAGAGAGAGAGAGAGAGAGAGAGAGAGAGAGAGAGAGCCTTCTCGCCTCCTCTTAGGGCCAGTGCCCTGAATTCAGACTTTCTAGTCTCCTAAACTGTGAGAGAACAAATTCCTGTTTGCTGAAGCCGCCCACCTGTATTTCCATTATAGCAGCACCAGGTAACTGAGGCAGATGGTCAAGCAGACGGTCAAAGCCAAGACGATGAGATGGACTGACACAATGGGGACAGTGACACAGTCAAACACGCCAACAGTCATGAGCACAGTACAGGATGGAGCAACGTGTCGCCCTGTCACCCTTAAGGTCACCCTGAGTGGGAGGTGACTCTACGGTGACTCCCAGAGCAATGCCTCAGCAAATGCACCAGCAGATGGTTTGCTCCCAGAACTCATTCAACGCTTCACAAGTGACAGGACTTCAAATCCAGTCTGCCCTGGACGCTTGCGTCCCTTGCTCGGGACTTCTTGGATGCCAGTTACCCATTGTACCTTCTCAGGAGATGGCGGGGCAGGTCTGACAGTTAGCAGGAGGGCAGTCGGCAGCTCAGTGACTGAACACACGACTTCATCCGCTGCTGAGCTCAGCTGACTGCGAGCCACGTAAGATGCCTGAAGCAGCGTCGTTCCACCCCCAACCCCTACAACTCGCTCATCTCCTCCTGCTGGGACTGGCAGCCATTATCCAGGAAGTGGTCATCACCTTCTCTCGCCTCCTCCTGAGGTGCAGCCCATAGCCACTGCTTGTACAGCTTCCCCAGCCCCACGGCGCTGCCCTGAGCCATGACTCAGGACCTCCATGGGCTGAGGGTCTGGGGGCCCCCAGACTGCCTGTCCTGGAGGGTGGAGGTGAGTAGACCTGGGTACCTCCCATGAGTCCCAATTGGCTTTTCATCCTTTGAGCACACAGGACATCACTCCCTGTCCCCGTCAGGTCCCCACACTTCCCTTGCCTCCTGCAACAAACAAGGCAGCCCCAGCCAGACAGGGAAACCTACCCTCCAAGAGGTCAGCCATCTGTCCTTTGTTCAGTGATAATTTATACCTGCTTCTCGCAAAGAGGGTTCAAGACAGCCCCCAAGAAGGGCCGGCCTTTCTCTCTGCAGCTCCACACTCATCATCACCAAGCACAGCCACAAAGACATTGGCCGCTGCTCTCCCAGGACCAGCTGGCCCTGGGAGCCTGGCCAGGGGACACACCACCACGTGTCACGACTGGTCTGTCTATAGAGAGGCCGAAGCCACCCAGCTCAGTTCAGCCTGGTTGAGGTTGGCAACCACAGGTGCTTGATGGTGCGTATCACAGCCTCTGCCCTGCCCTCCTCAGTGGCCTGGACACAGGAGCTAGGCTGGAGGGACAGCCTGGGCAGGTGGGGCAGAAGCACAGGAGGGCAGGGCAGTGGAACGAGGAGCCTGGGATGGAGGGAGGGGGAGGCCCAGTGCCGAGTGTGACATCTCATCTGGGGGAGGCTGGCTGGCTCGGGAGGGCAGGGAGGCTGGGGACAGGAGCCCCGGCCCCCGGGGGTGTCTCCCGCAGGTACCTGGCCTCGGCGCGTCTCACAGTTGTGGAGGTAGCTCAGGTGGTAGATCTTCAGGTTTAAGGTGGCAAAATTCAGGTACTTCAAAAAAACCTGGAACAGAGATTGCAGCAGGTAAAGATCACCCAGTGCGCCCAGAGGGGACGCTGTGTACACACAGGGCCACGGACTTAGCCCGCACAAGACCACACACTCCGACACAGCACCGTAGAGCAGAGCCCAGGGAGCTGAGACAGGAGACGTGTGTGCTGCTGCTGCCGAGTGGCCCGTGCACCATGGAACAAAAGCGGAACAAGAAGACGCTGCCCGGTCCTGCGCCATCCCCAGTCAGTTCTGGATCAGAGCTTCATGACCCATGGGTTTTCACTGGCTGTTTTTTTGTAAGGTGGTTGCCAGGCCTTTCTTGCTCATCTTAGTCTGGAAGCTCTGCTGAAACCTGTTCAGCATCAGCTACGCGGAAGTCTCCCCTGACAGAGGGCTGGCGGCTGTGCTGAGGGGCCCTGGCCAGGAATAGAACCCAGATCTCCCGCTGAACCACCACTGGCCCCACAGGGGACGTGTGCACATGGACAGACATATGTGGACTTGTCCCCTAAACGCACAGAGACAGACGCAAAGCAGAGACATGGACAGATGTGCAGAAGACACGCAAAGACACAGAGACCGAGAGGCAGGCCCTGATGCAGACGCAAGGCCTCCCCACCCAGGACCATACACACGGCGTGCAGAGCCCACGCCCTGAGTCCTGCACACTCACGTCTTCGTCTTCGCTGGTGAAGTACGGGCCGTCAAGCTTGTTCACAGCCATGATGACAGCCACCACATCCTTGCCATTCATGATGGGCGTGGCCAGGATGTTCCTGGTCACGTAGTCGGTGAGCTCATCGGCAAACGGGCTGAAGTGGGAGCACTGGGGTGGGGGGACACAAGGGAGGGTGCTGCTCAGTGTGTGTGGGGGAGTTCCCCACACCCCTGGACCCTGGGGATGGGGCTCAGCTCTGTGGGGACCACTGCCCAGACCAGGGTTGAGACTCCAAGTGCTTCAGGACTCAGGACACAGGTCATGGGCAGTGGGAGACGGGCCGGCCCTGGGACTGGAGCCAGTTCACTCCCTTCCCATCATCCTGCCTCTGAGCCAATGACCCCCAAACCTCCGACCCTCCAGCTCTCCATCCAGTAGACGGTGGGAAGTCTCAAGGCTCCATAGACCCTCTGTCCCTCTCCCTGTCCTGGGCCCGGGCTGATAGCAGACCTGGGTCCTTCTGTACCTTTCAGCCGAGTTTGCTTCCTGGAAGGCTGTCTTGAGACTGTCCCCTTGAGATGCATACTTCAACCCATCCTGACCCAGCCTGTGAACCTCCAACACCAGTCTCTGGTGAGTCAGCTCTGACCTACAGCCTCCCTGTGTCCCAGAGCAGACCTGCCCTCCATGGGGCTTGCAGCGGCTGATTGTTTGTAAGCAGATGGCCAGGACTTTTCTCTGAGACATTTCTGGGTGGACTCGAACCCCCAACTTTTTGGTTGGCAGGGAGCACGTTAACCATTTCCACACTCTTCCTCCAGAGGAATGAAGGATGAACCCAAGTCTGGTTGGTGGTTTGTCCACCAGCCCTCCCGCAGGGGCTCCCTACCCATTCCCACTCCCCCCAGATCTGAGGATGGCTGAGTAGCAACAAGTTCTCCCTCCACAAGGCGGGAGCCCGCTGAGATGTACTGAGCCTCTGCCCAGGTGCACGGAGCACTGGAAAACATGGCGGCCTAGAGGACAGTCTCTTCTGAGTGCTGTATGTACCCCTGACCTCACCCTCGCCCTGCTGGGTTCTGCCACTTAATGACAAGAGGCCAAAGTGATCAAGGTGGACAGTTCTGGAGTCAGCCTGCTGGCTGGCTCTGTGTGATCTGCAGCGAGTGGGACCCCACCTGGGTGCCTGCCGCCCTAGTCAGTTGGGCCCCGGCAGCAGTGTCTGCCTGCACAGCCCACGTGTGGGTAAATCCTCCCAAAGCTGCATTATTGTTCACCGTGGAAGGAAATCTCTCGGGCCTATTCATTCGTTCCCAGGGGCTACCGTCCTTTAAGGCACCTGGCTGGTATAAACGATATAACTCAACTGCAAACCTCCAGGCTGGTGGTTTGAACCCACCCAGCAGCTCCGCAGATGAAAAGGCCTGGAGATCGGCATCCATAAAGATTAATCCAAACGAAGCCAAACCCACTGCCATTGAGTCGATTCTGACTCATAACAACCCCCATTGGGTTTCCGAGGCTGTGAATCTTTATGGAAGTCAATTGCCCTGTCTTCCTTCCTCAGAGCATCTGGTGGGTTTGAACCGCTGACCTTCTCTTCTGGTTAGCAGCCAAATGCCTTATCCACTATGCCAGCAGAGTTCCTTTCCATCAAGATTATAACCAAGCAAGCCCTCTGGGACATTCTGCTCTGCACACACACAGTCACCGTGAGTCAAAGTTGACTCCATGGCCACTAACACCACCACCAGTCCCATGGCAGGCACAGAAGCTGACTGGCGCCGTACGATGTCCATCGCCTTCTCCCATCATGGAGTCCCTGAGTGGTACAAACTGGTTTTCTCTCCCCCAGGGGACGGAGCACCAGCACACTTGCTTCCCAGCCTGCCTTGCAGCGAGGGGTGGCCAGGCCCCTGTTTCACCCAACAGGATGTAAGAGGAAATCCACTGGGGACTTCCAGGCGAGTTTTGATGACCTTGGAAAGGGGCCCAGGCTGTGGCCGGTCCCTGTTCTCCCTCCTGATGCGTTGAGATGTCGTGGTCGTTGCAGCCACACGGTGCTCAGTGCTCGGCTGAGAGCTGACCACGGGGACATGGAGCAGGAGGCCCAGGAGAGCCTGAGGCCCCAGCTGGCTAAGCAGCTGCCCGTTGGAGTGGAACAATGGAGGCTCCCTGTGGGGGTCTTGTCCCACCTTGTGGGCCCAGGGCCTCGGACAGGTGTCCTCGCCTGTGTTCATGGACACCTCGTGCTGTTCAGGTGGCTCTTTGGACAGTGTCTCACCCTGACCGGCTGTCGGTGCACAGGGCCCGGGCTGTTCCTGGTCCTGTCATGGTCCTGCCTCACCTCTTCCTGTCAGAGCCATCATGCACCCTTCCCTTGACAAAGGCCCCTCGTGGTCCTTTCCTGAACCCTTCCATGGTGGATGGTGAGCACTTTGGGGAACAAAGTGACCTCGTCTGCTGCTTCTTCCCTGGCATCTACCACTCCCCCTGTCTCCGTAACCATGGCCTTGTTTGGGGAAAGATGGTTTTCCTTTGAAGACACATCAGTGAGAGAGGTCCTACCAGAGGAGGGTGGGTCTGAATCCCTTCTGATTAGAAAATCCATCTTATAAAAGAGAATAGCTGTGACACAGCCACGCAAAGAGAAGACACCAGGTGGAGATGCAAGTGCAAGCCAGGAAACAGCCCGGAGTGCTGGGGCTACGGAAGTGGGTGAGGCAAGGAGAAGGCCCAGCCCTGAATTTGGACTCTAGCCTCCTTTCTGTTCTTTACAACCTGCTCTTTGTAGTGCTTTTTTATAGCAGCTCCAGGACCCTAAGAAACCCCTCTCCTCCTGCTGGAGACGAGTCCCCTCTGCAGCCACCTTGGTCTTGCTGAGGCGGCCAGGCCCCGCCCTGCTCACACTGGACATCCCTTGCTGGTATCCATGGCACCGGGGCTTCCGCCTCTTAATCGCCATGGCTCTGTAGCCCCGTCAGCTCCTCAGGAGAACTTGGCTGGTCTTTGGAAGCCACAGGGCAGCTGCCACGGGACAGGGCCACCGGCCGCCCTCCAGGGTCTGGCTGGATCATTTGAGGGCTGCGATGGCCCCTCGTTCCCTGCTGCCTGTCCAACCCCTCCCAGGGTTCATTTTCCCACATCCAGTGTGCACTCTGCCCCCTGGCTTCCTGAGGGCAGAATCGCGGGCCACAGGGCTAACTGCATCTTGGAGATTCTGCAGTCAGACGGGGGAGGGTCGTGTGTGAAACCAGTCCTGCTGACCATAGGCAGGGGCTCCAGCCTCGGGCCCTTCCGTCATTGCCAAGTTCTCATCTTTCTCAGCTCCTGTCACTCTGCCTCCCTGCTGTCCCCAGCACCTCGTGTGGAGGGGTGGGCCCCACAGAGGGAGCACCTGCCTCCCACCCCAGTTCCCCAGGGCACACGTCTGGCCTCGGCCATGCCCTCCCTCACTCAGCAGCTGTTCCTTGCCTGGGACCACTTCCGCCAGCCCTTTTCTTGTTGGGCCTTTTGGAACCCGGGGCGGAGGTTGTTGACTTTTCTTCTTTTGGGGTTCCCCGGGCTTCTTCTTGTTGCCCTTTTTTCCCGTTGGGGGCCCGGCCTTTTGGCCCTTCGTTCCTTGTTGGGGCTTGCGGCCTTCCGGGTTGGGGTGGGCTTTGCCGGTTCCTTCCCTTTTTTTCTTTTAGGGCCTTGGGGCCCCTTTTGAGGTTGCCCGGGGCCTTCCCCTTGCCCCGGGGGGGGCCTCCCCCAGGCTTCTTTCTGCCTGACCTGCAGGGCCACTAGCTCCTTCTGAGTGTGTGGGGGCAGGTCCCACTGAGGAGGGTCACAGGCCTAGCAGTTCTAGTGGCGGCCTCAGAGCCCTGGCCTAGCCCCTAGATGTGTTCTGAAGTATCTCCCCACACTGTGTGAGGACCTCCAAACTCGTCCCCTCCAATGACTAGCATCACTAAAGAGCTGTTGGGGGGTGCCCCTGTGCCTGCTGGGAAGACTTGGCCAGGGTTTAGGGGGTGCAGATGAGCCCCAGGGGCTGGGAGTGAGGCTCTGGCAGAGCTGTGGAGCAGGGGGACACTGGGTGACCTCAGGCCTGGGTCCTCCACCACAGCCGAATGTCTGTGATTCCTGCTAATTAATATACCTCATGTCCCGAGAGATTCACGGGTGACCCATTTCTGAAAACGGAAGTGAAGATGGAGCTAATCCCTGGGATTATGCTATTCTGGGAGCTGCCTGTTGACAGCCCCTAAGAGGATTGAACCCCGCCGCACATGTCTGTTCGTGGCCTGCAGTGAGCTAGCTGCGGGGCTGCTTGGGGGGCCTGGGTCTGGGGCTCCGTCACCAGAAATGGAGGAGGCCGGCCCAGCCCACAGTTCCTGCTTCCCGGCCTGTGGGTCTCCGTGGAGTCCAGCTCCTGTGTCCCTCCGCCTCCATGTCCACGGGGAACCTCAGGGAGGGGCAGGGTGGGGCGAGCAGTCTCCTCTTCTTCCTCAAAGCCCTGCCCACTCGCCAATCCCATCGCCCGGTCCCCTTGGCAGATTCTCACACTGATGTCCAGCATGTCCCAAACCAACATCACCTTCCTGCACAAGCCCAGGCTACCCCCAGCACCTCACCCACCTGGTTAAACCAAAACAAACAAGCAGCTGCCAGTGAGTCAACCCTGACTCACAGTGACCGCCTGTGTGTCAGAGCCGAACTATGCTCCATAGGGTTTTTAGCTGCTGAAACCATATTTCACTAATAAAGCCCCAGGCCTTTCTTCCCAGGTGCCTGTGAGTAGCCTTGAACCTCCATCCTTCTAGTTACCAGCCAGGTGCTTAGTGTTTGCCCATCTGGTTACAGAAGCCCAAACCCGGCTGTCCTCACTGCCTCCTTCCTCTTCCCGCCCATCAATAACCTACCAGCAGCACTGTTTTGAGTCTAACTCTTCAATCTCCTGTAAGCCCCACACTGCTCCCCACCCCTGCTGCCTGCCCTGGACTGGCTCCTGGACCTGGTTCCCAGGCCCTCTCCCTGCCCCTCCTCGGGAACAGCATCACTGCAGAGGTTTTGGGCTCCTCACTGACTCGAGGACCAAGTGCAACCCCCGTCCATCATTGCCCAGCCCAGCCACACAGGCCCTGGGGCCTGTCCAGCCTCATCTGCCACCCACTCACCCTTCCCCGAACCCCAGCTGCTCCCTCTTCCTCTGGGCCTGCCCTGACCCTGCTCTGACCTTCATATTCACCCTCAGGAGTCCTGGGCCCAGGAGCTGACCAGGGGCTGCCCCAGGCCACCTTCTGTGCCCACCTCACTCAGGACTCTCTTCCTTGCAAGCTCTGGATGGGCCCCCTTTGCCTGCAGAGGGCCCTGAAGCTCCCACCTGAGCCACCCGCCCCAAAGCCAAGTGCCCTGCTGTGACCCCTGTGGCGATACCCAGACCTGTGGACCCTGGGAGTCCAGCTTCAGGACCCAGACTCAGATAGGGGAGCACGGAGCTTTCACCTGGATCTCTCTTTCACCCGAGACTCTCAGCCAGGGCTGTGTGACCTCAGGGTCAGCATTGGGGAAGGCACAGCAGGGTGCCTTCTGTCCCCTACAGAGCTCAGTGGGAGCCTGCTTCTACTGAAAGGGGCCTAGGGCAGGGATCTGCCACCTCCATTAGGTACAGGCAGTTGGCTGCACAGGTGTGGATATGCCTCAGCAGGGTGGGGACCCAGGAGGCTGGCCGTGGCTCCGAGGCCAGGGTGCCCAGGCAGATGGAGGGTGCCTCTGGGAAGAGGGGCAACTTTGGGCGTCCCGGTTAAGAGAGCAAAACTTTCCCAACTCTTCTCCAAACAACCGATAAAAAGCCAAGCCAGTTGCCATGGAGTCGATGCCGACTGATGGTGAGCCCTGGCGTGCAGGCTGGAACTCTGCTGGGGGAGGGGGAGGTTTCCAGGCTGTAACCTTGTGCAAACAGCTCCCTGCTTGGCTACTAATGGGAAGGCTGCTGGTTTGAACCCATCCACGGAGAGGTGCCTCAGAGGGAAGGCCTGGTGGTCTATTTGCAAAAGCCCCTGAGCCAGAGACAACTCAACAACCACTCATTAACCCTTTGGAAGCCAGGCCTTTCCAGAAGGTGCCTGTGGGTGGGTTTGACCCACCAATCCTCTGTTAGTAGCTGAGTGCTTAATTGTCTGCATCACTCAGGGACTCCATAAGAATTCGCTCCTTGGAGGAAGAAGCAACCCTTTACCATCTCTTAGGGTCCTGGGTGTCAGAGTGCGAGTGGACACTCGGCCACCAAGACCATCCCAGGAAATGCCACGGGGACGGACCGCCTGCCCGCAAGGCGCACCCACACCCACCTCGTTCACGTCCTCGACGTTAACCATCTTCTTGGTCTGCGCCACGTGCCCGACCACCCCGATGTCCAGCGGGAAGACGATCTCCGAGTCCGGCGGCACTAGGCACTCCTCCAGGGTGCTGTGCGGCTGCACGCTGAAGAGGCGCGTGGCGAGCTCGGCCACGCCGTTGCGCTGGCGGTACATGAACAGGCTGCAGCGGTCGGCGCGGAGGATGCCGCAGAGGCGCCGCAGGATCTTGAAGACCACCCGCTCCATGTTCACGCTCTCCTGCATGTCCTGCACCACCTCGAACAGCGCCGCGCCCTCCTCCACCTGGCACAGCTCGCGGAAGCTGCCGCAGTCCGCCAGGCTCCCGGCCTCGCCGGCCTCGGCCGCCTGCTCCGGGCGCAGCTGCTTTCCGAAGTACCGCTCCGCGAAGCCGGGGTTCTCGGCCAGAAACTTCTGCACGCGCTCCTCGCTGACGCTCATGGTGTCCCCGCTCCGGGCCTCCACGGAGCCACTAGTTTCCCCAGGAGCGCATGGGTGCCGCGCGGGACCGCCGCGCAGCAAACACTGTCATCAGCAAAGTCTTGCTTAGGGACGATTATGGGCCAGGTCAGCTGACTGCTCGGGAGCTCAGGGACAACTCTTCCTTACCTCTCTGAGACCCCGAGGTTTCCCACCGCTGCAGGCAGGTCAGACCCCCTGGTGCAGGGCTGAAGGTCTCTGGGCTCCTGCCTGGTGCAGGTGGCGTGGGCAGCTGGGGCTGGTCTTGGAAGCCGCCCTTCACAACTAATCTCCAGGAGGGAGGTAATCCCACGGACAGGATGACCCTGCCCACTCGGGGAAGCTGTCCCAGCTGCGCCAACAGGCTGCCGCTGGGCTGGGAAAGCAGGGGATGGCCCACCCCAAGGCACGGCGAGGGAGGCCCAGAGCCGCAGGCCACCGTGTGGTCCGAGCCCCAGGGAGGTCCCGACGGGGAAATGTGCGTATTTTCTGCCTATGCCAGTGCACAGGGGGTCTGTGGCTTCATCCCCGAGCCTAGGGGTTGGGACGTGAGCCGGTCTCGTGGCGCCGTTAGCTGGACTCCCTGGAGGTGCACACAGCAAACGCGGCCAGCTGCTCGCTGAAGGGTTGACCGTTCAAGGCCACCGAGAGGGGACTGGGAAGAAATGGGCGATCTCTTTCTGGAGGACCACAGTGCAGTTTTGCTCGGTCACACGGGGCCAAGGTGACTCGGCTGGCACCCCAAACGGATTAACGCCTGTTGGTGATTTACTTCCGAAAAACCAGCCAGTGAGAACCCCATGGGCCGCTGTGAGTGTAAGGATGGTGCAGGACTCCGTGGCATCTCGGTGTGCTGTGCGCGCGGCCGCCAGGAGCTGGGCCAACTCCACGGGTTACCCGTGGACAGTGCTTACCTGTCCCTCCCCGCGGCTCGGGAGATGGAGGGGGCTGTTACCGGGGAGGAAGGCGGAGGAAGGCGGGGCTCCCCTGGCCTCTCACTCCCACCGCCCAGGCTGAAGGACGAGCCTCTGATTGGTCAGGCTGGAAGAAGGCACTGAGCTCTCCACGGTGGAGCCTGGCCTCTGGAAACAGGTTTCCTCAGAAGCCAGTGAACCAGGAAGTTGAAGCTTGAGTCTCAGAGGCCTCCTGGGCTCAGATCCAGGAGGGAGCTAGTGATGTGTTCAGGTCGTTGTTGTTAGGTGCCGTCCAGTCGGCTCCAACTCATAGTGACCTGTGTACAACAGAACCAGACACTGCTGGCTCCTGCACCAGCCTCACGATCCTTGCTAGACCTGAGCCCATGGTGGCAGCCACTGTGTCAGTGCATCTCGTTGAGGGTCTTCCCCCCTTTCACTGACCCTCCACTTTACCAAACGTGATACCCTTCTCTACGGAATGGTCCCTTCTGACAACATGACCAAAGTCGTTTAGAGGAAGTCTGGCCATTCTCTCTTCTAAAGAACATTCTGGTTGTACTTCCTCCAAGACAGATTTGTTCCTTCTTTCAGCAGTCTGTGTACCTTCAATAGTCTTCACCAACACAATTCAAAAGCACTGATTCCTGTGCAGTGTTCCTTATTCACGGTCCAGCTTTCACATGTGTATGAAGCTACTGAAAACACCACAGCTTGGGTCAGGGGCACCTTAGTCTTCAAAGTGACCTCTTTGCTTTTCAGCACTTTAAAGAGGTGCTTCCTGGCAGATTTGCCCAGTGCACCGTCTGATGTCTTGACTGCTGCTTCCATGGACGTTGATTGTGGATCCAAGTAAAAGGAAATCTTTGACGTCAATCTTTTCTCCATTTATTGTGATGCTGCTCATTGGTCCAGTTGTGAGGGTCCTTGCTTTCTTTATGCTGAGATGTAATCCACATCGAAGGCTGTAGTCTTTAATCTTCATCAGTAAGTGCTTCAAGTCACCTTCACTTTCAGCAAGCAAGGTTGTGTCGTCTGTGTATCAGAGGTGGTTAATGAGTCTCCCTCCAATCCTGACGCCACATTGTTCTTCACATAGCCCGGCTTCTCAGGTTATTTGCTCAACAGACACACTGAATAAGTGTGGTGAAAGGACACAACCCTGATGCACACCTTTCCTGATTTTAAACCATGCGGTATTCCCTTGGTTCTGTTTGAACCATTGCCCCTTGGTTTGTGTACAGGTTCTTCATGGACACAATCAAGTGTTCTGGAATTCCCATTCTTTGTAATGTGATCCATAATTTGTGATGATCTGCACAGTTGAATGTCTTTGCATAGTGAATAGAACACAAGTACACATTTTTTCTGGGATTCTCTGCTTTCAGCCAAGATCCATCTGACATCAAATGGATGGGTGATGTGTTCACAGAGGCATATATTTCTGCAAATTTTACAGCAGTCAGATGTTTAAACAGTTAAGACCACCATTTCCTTTGACTAAGGAGCCCTGGTGGCATGATGGTTAAGCACTGGGCTGTAACTGAAAGGGTGGTGGTTCGAACCCACCCAGTGGCTCCCAGGAGAAAGACCTGGTGATTGGCTTCTGTAAAGATCAAAGGTCTCCAAGGCTGTCAGTCTTCATGGAAGCAAAGCCCAAGCCACACCCACTTCCCTGGAGTCCATTCTGACCCATAGCGTCCCTAGAGGAGAGAGTGGAACAGCCCACAGAGTCTGCAAGGCTGTCAATCTTCACAGAAGCAAAGCCCAAGTCACACCCACTGCTGGAGTCCATTCCGACCCACAGCGCCCCTAGAGGACAGAGTGGAACTGCCCCATGTGAGTCACTGTGAGTCAGAATCGACTCCATGGCACCATCACCACCACCATCACAATGCCTCTGCATATCACGTGACATTGGCAACACTATGGCCACACTTGGGATCTGAGTCATAGCAAGTGGGGTTGGGTGTACTGGGTTGTTTTTGGGGTTCACGCTATGCACCTCTGTGTGGACTTACTGCCAGCCAGCCTCGTGTTCAAATGCCTTCTAGGGGTACTCTGCCACCCACTGGTCAACTCAGCCAGCATCACAACACGAATGTGCAGGAGCAGAGAGTGTCATGACACAAACGGTTCCCATGGCAACCAACCCCAGAAGTGTGTGTGTACTGAGGAGTGTGAGTACTGAAACGGACAGAGCCAGAAGCCAGTCTGGGGAAAGTCTCCTCATCACCAGATG